ATTGCAATTCCCAATACGACAGCGCCGCCGGCGACCACAGCCGACCACAGCCGACCAGAGCCGACAACGCAACCACCAGACCCTCTAACGGAGTCAATGAGTCAGTGGTGTCAGATGAGTGGTGTGTGATGAGTCGTGTGTGATGAGTGGTGTGTGTGATGAGTGGTGTGTGATGAGTGGTGTGTGAGATGAGTGGTGTGTGAGATGAGTGGTGTGTGAGATGAGTGGCGGGAGGAGCGGGAGAAGCGGGATGAGACAATAGAAAAGAAGAACCCCAGACTAAGATGTGGGGAAGTAAAAACAACCACAACAACTGCCGCATGCCAAACTTTGGAGAATTAGTAACAAGTGCATCGCTTCTAGTAACAAGTGCCTTACTAGTAGTAACTAAGAAGCTATTAGAAACAAGTGCCTTACTAGGAGCGTTCGGACGCTACTGACCTGCGAAGCATCGCCTTCCCGTGTTTGGTCTTTCTTTCGACGTTTGTGTCACCAAAGAACGGCGATCCGTCCTGACGGCGCTTCGCAGTTGTCCTTCACGGTGACGGTGCGGTTGCCCTTGGTCTGCTGTCCAATCGTGTCCTGGCGATGTCTTCTTCGGAAGACGAGGACTGAAGAGTTCATAGAGGTTGATCGACAGGTTCGCTCTCAGCACTGCTCTCAACATGTGGAGCATAGCTACGAAAATATCGGGGAACAACTTTTATTTGTTCCTGTGTACACGGAGCAAATGAATTTCTGAGCTGAGCAGGCATCGTCACTCCTCGCAGGTGTAGTAGAAAACATACTCCCCTGCAACGTCGCGGTCGAAGGTGGTCACAGTGGTTGGCTCCGGAGGATACGGATCCTCATAGTCCGTGCATTCAACAGTTCCTGCGCTTCGAAGATGGTGTGAACAGCGAAACAAACACCCCAGACAGCACCTCTGGGCACAGCGATCCAGAAGCTAATTTAATAAATGGACAACCCAGTACTTCTATTGACCTTTTGCAGTCCATCGCCCTCAAATGGCTTCCCCACTCCAGCGCAAGCTTCACATCATGTCCCCTGATCGATTTTGACGTCGTACAGGAAGTGGTCATCTTGACGGTTTTCTGCGCAGCAATTAAGATGCTACTAGGAGCAAGAACGCTACTAGGAACAAAGGGCATCGCTACTAGGAGCAAGGACGCTATAGTATTTATTATGTTCAAGGCCACCAAGTAGCGCCTTGCGGAGACGCGCCCGTGGTGTCCCACATTTGGGACCGTGATGCGTCCGTCGCGTCCGAAAACGACTCGTTGACTGTCCTTCCACCCAGGAGGTGTCCCCCAAATTCATGGTGCGCGCGGATGCGGTCACATAGATCTTGGGATAGTGGTTGATGCGCTGACAGTACCCCACCTGGACACATCGCAATCGAAGCCGGAAAACCATGCTGTATGCTGAGGTTGGCAACCCCCAATGCCAGAGCTTTCGATTGATCACTTGGTATCGTGAACCTCAATGACAGCAGGTCAAGGAAGCACAGGGTCAAGCCCAAAGTGCAAATTCTCCCCATCTGATCCTGATCCCAAAGAGAAAGAGAGTCTAAACGAGTCTAAACAGAAAGAATTCCCTCCGAATTCACGCATTACACTTTTTCACTTCGAAGCTCACCAAAACAAGCCCCGACTCCTGCCTGGCGATTGCTATCGGTGTCTTCGGAATAGACACCATCGCAGCCGGAGTAGGTGGTGCAGTTCCCACCATCCTCATAGATGCCTCCATAGAACTCGTAGGTTTCGCCTCGGATCCGGATTGGTGTGTTGGTCCGATCCAGAACGGTTGGAAGGTCGGTGTAGAAAGCTCCTGTCGTAGTATGTTTCTAGCGAACCTTGTTACTAGCAGTAACAAGTGCATCGCTAGTAGTAACGAGTGCCTTACTAGTAGTAACAAGAAGCTAGTAGAAACAATAAGCTAATAGCGAACCTTGTTACTAGTAGCAAGGCCAGGAGCCCCGTTTGTAGCGTCCTTTGCTCCTAGTAGCGATGCCAGGAGCCCCTAGTAGCTTCTTGTTCCTAGCTGCGGAGTCCAGTCGGAGTTGTTGGTTTAGGCGGAATCTTTTTAAGGTCTTTGACTGCTATTGACCGCCAAGTACTTAGGGAATCTGACCCAGGGGGTGTTTGCGGCGCAAGGGCTTTGCCAGCTGTGAGATCAATTGTCTATCTATTTGCCAAGCTTCAGACAGAGTTCGCAGTACAAATCTTGAGGCATGCCAGATAGTCTGCAGTCTTTTCGGGCCCTGTCTGAACTGTGTCGCAAGTCACAATGTTGCCACCATATACACCTTGGACACACAGCAGGTCTCAAAACACGGCGTCTCCAATCCCCCAAGAGCCTCAAGAATCAGGGTTTCTGCCCGGTCTTTTCGGAAATGCACTCCGGGCACTCCGAGCCCAATAATTTTGTGGAGAAGGGACACCGATGGTCTTCCCCGTTGATTCGACCACCTCATTGTCTGTTTCTCTTAGGGCTCGCCCGTCTTCGCCGGTGTGCTTGGCGGAGATCGGGTCGTGGTGGCTTCATTACACACAACTACACATTTTTTGATATAGGAAATATGAGTTTGGTGGTCCATGTCGTTGTTTTAGATCACGGGAGTATTATATTGCAAAGGCGATACCGATCCAGCAACCTCAAGCTTACCTCTCGCAGCTGGGGATGTGGAGGACATACTCATCCAACTGAATATGGTCAAAAGACACACCGCACAGCTCAATGTGATGCTTTATGGGCAAAACTCCTCTGGATCATACAACTCGGGGGGGTAGAGGAAGCTACTAGGAGCAAAGGGCATCGCTACTAGGAGCAAGAAGCTACTAGTAACAAAGCGCATCGCTACTAGGAGCAAGGACGCTACTTCATATTTTCTGCAGTTCTCCGTTCTTCCGCGGAAACCAAACCCGCACGTCTTTGCAAGTTGGAGGCCTTGCAACGGCTTGCCAAGCTGCCATCAGGGTTTGGCCCCTCACAGCCCACTTCCACCAGACGAGACAGCCCCACTTGAGCACCCGTCGAGTCGGTACATTGGTAGTACCTCAGCTGGTTCCCCCCAGCGAGGAGCTGAGTAGGAAAATCCTGAAGCGGCAAATGGCCTGTGAAAATCCTGAATCCAATTCTAATTACTAATTCTTATTGTTACTACTAGTAAGGCACTTGTTACTAGAAGCGATGCACTTGTTCCTAATTAGTAGCTTCTTGTTTCTAATCAAAATAAGATGTTCCATCTGATGTTCCTCTCTTTTCCATATGTAGCGTGGATCCGGCCCCACTAACGAGACCTACAATAATGTGTAAGTAGCGCAAACCTCCGTGCCTTTCCGAGACTCGCAGAAAAAAAACCAAGGGCAAACCCTGGACACACTCCTCAGCTTGGAACTTGGGATTATGTATCAACTTGGTCGAGTTGTTCGAGATTAAAGCCCCCTTTTGCATTCTTTTTGCACCCGAACATACCCGAACCACCCAAAGAAGCTACAATAACAGAAGATGATTCTGAGCCCTTCATCACATTTTTGAAATGAAACCATTTCATTCACACGAAATTCCGCACGCACGCCAGGTTGCACCCGGAAGAAACCAATCACATCCGGATCTGCCTAAGAGGAGTGGTCGCATGGTGGGCCTCACTGACTGTCACTGACTGTCAGGCCTCCACTCTTGTTTCACTTAGCTCGGGAATCACAGGAACCAGCTCTCCGCAAAACTTGCGGACCCTTTTCAGGGTGTAGGACTTTTTGTTGATCAACAGTTTTGCAGGGTGCTCAAGTCTGCGTGAAACGCGGCTGCCACGTCTATTACGGGATTGTTGGGTCTCACGATGTTTGAATCCAGGACCCATTGGTGTCTCACGAGCTTCAGAAACCCATCAGGTGCAGTTAAGAGGGAGTAGCCAAGCTCAAGGCAACATGCGTATCGATCTGTGTTGGGTCCAAATCGGTTCAGTGAACCAGCAAACATATCCCCAAACCGCAAAGAAATGCTTGACCCATGGCTAACTGTGAGTCATACCAAGCCAGAACCAAGCCGGATCACCACTCCAGTGATTGGCATGCCAAGGTCACGTTGTTCACGGTCGACACACTCGCCAAGCATGTTGGCGGGCCTGAGGTAGTTCCTGTCGAAAGACTGGAATTGTCACACCATGTTTCATCCAAGAATGGTCACACCCCAGCAAGACAACAGAAAAAACTAGCAACATAATCAATCTCAAGAGAAACTTTCAGTCCACCCAGAAGGATCAGGTGAAGAAGGTTTCACCAAGCTATTGCCCTCTGGAACAAACTGACGTGTGGTTGTTGGGCTCCAGGGCTCTCTGTCACAAAACTCCACACGAAGCTCATCAATAAGCTCATTGAGCACAACAACTCCTGGAGTTTCTGCAGGTGAACACATCAACTTGCCCAGCTCCTGACTCATTGCCTTCCACTGCCAGAGAATCATGAAGCTTGCCTTGGGAGGGCGAAAAAAGATTCAGGCTTGGCCCCCAAAACTGCAAAACTGACTCCGTGCATTCTCATGATGTCGATTTTGGGCTACTTCCCGCTGCAAACACTTGAAGCATCTTGAAATGGAAACGATATGATCATCTCGACTTCACAAAGCAGTCACATGGGCTATGATTGATGGATACTTCCACGGGAAGGAGCACTTATATTTACCTTATAAGTTTGACAGAACATATTTGTGCACGTTTGATCGAGTTGCAGTTGTCTGTAGCTGAGCTTGGGTAGTACGAGAAATGTGCACAGCCTCCAGTGGTGCGACAACGATGTTGGCAGTCCTTGCGGTGTTTGCTGTTCAGGGTCCATGCTAGTAGTATGGCCAGGAGCCCCTACAAGTAGTAGCGTCCTTGCTCCTAGTAGCGATCCCCTTTGTTCCTAGTAGCGATGCCCTTTACTCCTAGTAGCATCCTTGCTCCCAGTAGTATGGCCAGGAGCCCCGTTCGTAGCGTCCATGTCTTGACGGATGTCCAACTGCACTCCGTCCTCTGCACTTGACTCAGTGAGTGTCCCATCAGTCATCACGGTTGAGAAGGTCGTCCCGCTGACTCCTAGGAGCAAAGGGCATCGCTACTAGGAGCAAGGACGCTACTAGGGGCGCTCCTGGCCTTACTACTAGGAACAAGAAGCTACTAGGAGCAAAGGGCATCGCTATTAGGAACCAAAAGAATGCGTCAAAGATAACTCAGATTTTGACGCAAATGCAAAGCTGCTCCAGTGTGCACACGAAGAAGACTCCAATATAGAAACAAAGAACCTCAAATGACCCCTCAAAGAACCTTTACCCATCGGCCGTTGAGTCCTGATACAAAACATCCATCGGCCGTTGAGTCTGTTGCCTGGGCCAAGCAGCAGTGTGCGGTTGCCGTGTTTTAAGGTTTCGCGTTAGTCCAACAACACATGAAGGATCTGACGAAAGCGAAACCACTGACCGATTTGCGACCGATTCACCGACTTCTTCCCGTGAGTCCCCACAATCCGGAGTCGTGCTGATGGACAATATTGGTCCTTCAAAGCTGTTGGACAACAACTTCCATGGAGAAAGTGGAGTGGCCGCACGGCAACCTCTGGTTCTTCCGAACAAAAGGCTTCGTCGATTGGGAGGCCCAAATGCAGTCAAGGCACCAGACCTTGACAAGTTCGAGCACCGCCTAGTGCCAGTGATGTGCACTCATCAACAGATGCAGCACAGGTGTAGAGATTGTCAGTGGCCTTGGTGAGCTGAATCTAAAGTCTTCTTGCATGTTCAAAAGCAAGGCCTTTCCTCTCTGGACTTCGACGCCAAATATGACTGGCACATGCTCGTCCCCGCAGGAAGTCTAAGGCCCCCAAGATGGCAGGTTTAGCAAGAGCTCTTTCGGAAAGTTCCCTGTCAACTACATGCTCTCCAGGAAGACTCTTGCTGTAATAAGGATAAGCAAAATAAGAGTTTTGAAGTTTTGAAGTATTCATGAGTATTCCGTGTCTGACCAAATGCGTGGTTCTGGGCTTCCGTGTCCAGAACGTTGCACGCGTGTTCTTCGTTTAAATGCGACGGAGGCCACCGTGTCACACATCACCGGGAGATCGTAAGGGCACCGGTACAGACCTCGTGAAGAGGAGCCAACGTCTGCATCTTGCAACGCCAAAGAAGAGTTGCTTGAAACGTGCTCCCCAAGCTTGAGGCTCCAACTCTCAAAACAATTCAAGTCGAGCACGTGGTGAAATGCGTTGCTTCCAAGTCAAGACTGGCAGCCATGCTATAAAACAGAAGTTCCTAGCATTGAAGGTGTTTCCTTGAGAGAAGAAAACCTGTGGACTGTCTTAGTCTTGAGACCTCCATTGCTTGAACAGCAATCTTCGTTATCGTTGCTGCAGATCGTCCCATCGCCTCAGCATTCCGGGCACCACGAGCACAGCACACAGCAGCCCTTCATCTCGTGCGCCCGTGTCGTTTAACTCGGCCGAAGGGCGACACTCATATCTCTTGGATTTTTGGCTGAAGCCAAAACGCCAGGAACAACCTCAGTGGAAAGCGCACTTCATTGCAAGGTTTGGCCAGCCGTCTGTTGGCTTCCCTACCTTCTAGAAGTGCCGCCAATGTTTTGCAGAGTTGTCAAAGCGCACACTACAAAGATTCCTAAGCTCTTTGAGTCAAGCGGCTGGTCGCAGGATCTGCTCGCACCATTGGTCGCCGACATGAAGGAGAGCTACCACTTTCTGCAGTCATGATCAATGCCTCAGTATCCAGAAACCCTAGGAGCCAAGGAACTCACCGAAAAAACTGAGCTGAAATACCATGAAGTTTGTTCCTTTTCTGCAGTGAGGCAGGCCCTAGGGTGTTGGGGAGTCCATTGCTTCTCACCATCAAGGACTCTTCAGCCCAGGCACTCCTTCCGGAAGCGAGGCTGCAGTGTAGGCATGGGCCACAGCACCAGTTGCGATCTCCAGCACCTAGGGTGCTGGATCTGCTGTATCACAGAAGCAGTAGCTCTGAGTGACTGACAGTGACTGAATGATGTCAAGTTTCTCGCTGCCCCTCTCTCGGTCTCTCGAAAAGGCGGAGTATCTTCAGGTGAGATTCGGCTGTTCTGATCGAAAGCGATGTTCAATGGGAGATTAAACTATTGACGCTGCAGCATCTCAGAAAATCAACTCAGTCATTTCAAGACTTTACCACATCCACTGTTCCACGCCTCACCTCTGGCAAATGATGAAATGATGAGCTCTTCTTGTCAGGGACTCAGAGTGAGTAGTAACTACTGTAGAACATGACCAACTCCCTACCCAGCTGATCACTAGCTTGGCACCCATCGCTGGGCCGTAGGATCATAGGTGAAGCTTGCCTTTTCCAAACCCGTCTCCAACTCATAGATCTCCTGTGCGTTGCTTGCGTTGCTCGTGCTCTCAAAGCTGGCCGCTTTTTCTGACCGCAATGGTTTTGTTTCCCAGCGCAAGAGCGGCTGACGGGACCCGTAGCAAAAGCAGCTGTACAAATCATATGAATGCCAGAATGCCCAAAGCCCAAAGCCAGATAGGTGGGTGAACATGTCTAGATTAGGTACTTTGGTTTATGCAGGTCTGCCCGGAGTAAACCGTGTTGACCCACGGCCCAGTTGGAATGTTGCGTGAGCAGACTGCTTCTTATCTGCTCAAGCTCTTGATCACGCTACCTGTTGAAAAACGTTCCAACTGCTTTTCATGACTGGAGCAACTAATTACCTCGCACACACCATTCGAGCCGTCTCCTCTTGAGGATATTGGTACAAAGGCCAGCCTCTGTCATTCCCATTCAGGATAAAGTTGTAGTCTCCTGCACTTCAGAAACTCTGGAAACTTGTTCTGGCACACTTTTTCTTCACTGAAATCCGTTCCGACGCCACGCGAACGCCATTCCGACGCCACGCGCGTTCCGGAGACGCTTCGACGGAACCACCCTCTTTTCCGTCCTGTGACCGCTGCATCGGTGCAACCTGAAGGGATTAGAAAGAAGCTATTAGAAACAAGTGCATCGCTTCTAGTAACAAGTGCCTTACTAGTAGTAACAAGAAGCTATTAGGAACAAGTGCCTGAAGGGATGTAGAAGGTGTTCGGCATCTTCGGAGCTAAGCCTCCCCGTACCTGCAACGGAACGTGCAACCTTCAATTGTCACCGAAGGAACCAGTGCATCTAACGTTTTTTTTTTTTTTCGGTTCTGGATGGTTCCGGTTCTTTTAAGCGAAAAAAAAGACCAGAAAGAGCGAAGCAAAGCGAAGCAAAGCGAACGGCTTTCACCCGGCCTCTGCTTCGCAGAGTTTCATGTCACCAGAAGCCTTTCCTCGCTCGGGGTGGGAAGATTCGGATCGCTTCGGCCGAAATCGGCGTCTTCCACGGAAGGATCCCAATTCTCGAAAGGCAACAATAGCATGGTATAGCTATAGCAACACAGCACCACAGCTCAGGAGAAAATGACCTTGCATGTGTTCAAACTGCGGTGATTCATCTGTTTAAATAGGCAACCAAATCTTCGAGTTGTGGCAGATGGTCGCAGCACGGCAAAATGCAAATTGTCCGTGGTCCACTCTGTGGTCTCTCCAGTCCACTTTGTTCCAAGAAAGAAACATGAAGAAGTGAGATATGAAGGAAGGAAGGACGGAAGGAAGGACATTGCAAAGTCAATTTCAATGATCTTCCCAAAAACAACACATGAACACGTCTCATTCTTCGTACTGTAGAGCCGAGGCACGAGTCCAAATCATCACAAAGCGTCCCACCATGGGTGCTTTGCAGGTCGCATTGCTCCAACCTGAACGGAACATTCACCACCACCCAAACATCCCCCCTTTGCTCCTAGTAGCTTCTTGCTCCTAGTAGTATGGCCAGGAGCCCCTAGTAGCGCCCTTGCTCCTAGTAGCGATGCCCTTTGCTCCTAGTAGCGTCCTTGCTCCTAGTAGTAAGGCCAGGAGCAAGAAGCTACTAGGAGCAAAGGGCATCGCTACTAGGAGCAAAGGACACTACTGGGGGCTCCTGGCCTTACTACTAGGAGCAAGGACGCTACTAGGAGCAAAGGGCATCTCTACTAGGAGCAAGGACGCTACTAGGGGCTCCTGGCCTTACTACTAG